GAAAGTCTCAACTCTGACATTTCTCCAGTGATCAGGCACTAAATATGTTGACATTGGAACATGAGGTTGCTGGCCTACACAAGTATTTTCGAAGCATTTTTACAGGACTTTTGCTGAACTCTCATTAACCTACCAAACTAGGGTTTCCTTTATGCATTTTATTGAAACTTGTTTACTTGATATATATCAAGTAACATCAGTGAAAAATCAGTGGACAATCTAGGTGAAAGACCCTGCCTTAATGGATCTTAGACTCTGATTACAAGGAACATATATCTGTACTTTGGTTATGGTTTATAGGAACATATATCAATACCTTTGTCATGGTGGTCATGTTTGGGTAAAGTTGTCAAGAACAGGTATGAAACCAGCAACTCCTGCTATTCCTTGTGTCTGGAACATTCTTTTCTTCAGTCTCGCCACGGTTGTCTTTTTATCATTCAAGTGTCAACTCAACTGTCCACCTCCTTTGACTCACCGCCTGGGACTGCTGCATCTGGAGTTGTCAACCCTCACGGTTGTCACCCTTACTTCCTTCTATTTTCTTTGAAACACACAGCTGAATTAGTTTATTTATTTATCTCTTTGTATATTATCTTCTCCAATACTAGAATATAAGCACCATGAGAGAAATCAAGTGCCTGGTGTAGCTTGCGCAGTACTGAATCCCCAGTGGCTAGTAAATGGCATCTGAGACATGTTGAATATATGAATGAAACTTGGTGTCATGGTACACTAAAATAGCACTGCTCAATAGAAACGTAATGTGAACCACATATATAACCTAAATTGTTCTTGCAGCTGTACTAATAAGTAAAAAATAAGCAGGCTAAATTAGCTTTAGTAATATATTTTATTTAACCCAATACATTTAAATTGTTGTCATTTTGACATATCATCAATGTAAACATTTTTAATGAGATATTGTACTTTTTTTCCATACAGCCCTCAAAATTCAGTATGCATTTTATACTAACAGTACACCTCCATTCAGACTCTGAAGTTTATTTTGAAATGGTTGATAGACATTTACATTGCATAAAATTTATGGTTGAAAGGGTAGATTCACATATTCAGGTTCTTCAGGTCAGTTGAGTTCAGTCGCTCAGTTGTGTCCAACTCTTTGCGCCCCATGGACTGCAGTATGCCGGGCCTCCCTGTCCATCATCAACTCCCGGAGTTTACCCAAAATCATCTCCACTGAGTCAGTGATGCCATCAAACTATCTGATCTTATCGTCCCCTTCTCCTTCTGCCTTCAATCTTTCCCAGCATCAGAGTCTTTTCAAATGAGTCCACTCTTCGCATCAGGTGGCCAAATTATTGGAGTTTCAGCTTCAACATCAGTCCTTCCAATGAACACTCAGGACTGATCTCCTTTAGGATGGATTGGTTGGATCTCCTTGCAGTCCAAGGGACTCTCAAGAGTCTTCGCCAACACCACAGTTCAAAAGCATCAATTCTTCAAGCTCAGCTTTTTTTATAGTCCAAATCTCACATCCATACATGACTACTGGAAAAACCATAGACTTGACTAGACCAACCTTTGTTGGCAAAGTAATGTCTCTGCTTTTTAATATGCTGTCTAGGTTGGTCATAACTTTTCATACATTTAAAAGTTTTATAACAGCTGAATCAGGACCATTTTTAAAATTTTAATTAAAATTAAGTAAAATAAAAATGTAGTTTCTCAGTCATGCTAGCACATTTCAAGTATTCAAAAGACACATGTGATTACTGTATTGGACAGTCCATCTCTTAAAAAATGTTTAAATTGCAGTGTCACATACACATGATATATGTTCAAATGTGATACTTGTTTGAAAATCTATCTGAGACAATTTGTTACTAGAATGAAATATCAATGTATATTTTGAAAAGTAAACCATTATTTACAGACTGGGAGAAAATACTTGACAAAAACACATTTGATAGAAAACTGTTATCCCAAATATACAAAGAACTCTTAAAACTAAATAATAAGAAACAAAGAACACAATTTAAAAAATGGGCAAAGACTTTAACAGGCACCTCACTGAAGAAAATACATGGATGGCAAATATGCATATGAAAGAATGTTCCACATCATACACCATCAGGAAAATGCAAACTAAAACAATGATACCACGGCAACCTATTAACATGGCCAGAATCAAAACAATGACAGAACCAAATGCTGCTGAGAACGTGGAGCAACAGAACTCTCACTCATTGATGGTGGGAATGCAAAATGGTGCATTCGCTTTGGAAGACAATGTGGCAGTTTCTTATAGAACTAAACGTACTATTACCCCATCATTTACTCAAAGAGGTTGAAAACCATGTCCACACAAAAACCTGCATGTGGACACTTACAGCAGCTTTATTCATAATTGCCAAATCTTGGAAACAACCAAGATGTCCTTCGGAAGGTGAATGTATAAATGGACTGTAGTACATTCAGACAATGGAATATTTTTCAGTGCTAAAAAGAAATGAGCTATTAAGCCATGAAAAAAGATGGGGGAAGCTTAAATGCACATTACTAAGTGAAAGAAGCCAATCGACAAGGCACATATTATGTGTTTCCTGTTAGGTGACATTGAGGAAAAGCCAGAGTTATGGAGACAGTAAAAATGACAGTGGTTGACAGGGTAGTGGGACAGTGGTGGGAGCATGGGAGGGAGATGAAAAAGCAAAGCACAGAGGGTTTTCAGGGCAGTAAAATACTCTGTATGATGTTATGAGGATGAATATATGTCATTATGGGCTTCCATGGTGGACCAGTTGCAAAGAATTCACTTACATGCCAGTGCAGGAGACACAGGTTCAATCCCTGGGTCAGGAAGGGCCCCTGGAGGAAGAATGGCAACCTACTCCAGTATTCTTCCCTGGGCTATCCCATGGACAGAGGAGCCTGGCAGCCTATGGTCCATGGGGTTGCAAAGAGTCAGATATGCATATGTGAAATGAATCGCCAGTCCAGGTTCGATGCATGATACAGGATGCTTAGGGCTGGTGCACTGGGATGACCCAGACGGATGGGATGGGGAGGGAGGTGGGAGGGGGGTTCAGGATGGGGAACACATGTACACCCATGGTGGATTCAAGTCGAAGTATGGCAAAACCAATACAATGTTGTAAAGTAAAATAAATTAACTAATTAATTTTAAAACAAAGCTAGTTAGCAAGAAGCCCAACTCAAACATAGAAAGTGGAAAACATTCAGACCTATCTTGGGAAATAAAAACTTAAGTTGTTACTTAAAAAAAAAAAAGAGTCAGATATGACTTGGTAACTAAACAACATGTCATTATATTAATACTTTTGTCCAAACACATGGAGCACACAATACCAAAAGTGAACCCTAAGGTCATATATGGACTTTTTGTGATTATAGTATACCAATATAGGTTCATTCTTAGTAAAAATTACAATTCTGATGAATGATATTGATAATGGGGGAGGCTATGCATGTGGTGGGCCAGGGAGTACATGAGAAATCTCTGTACCTTCCTCTCAATTTTGTTGTAAACCTAAAACTTCTCTAAAAAAGTTATCATAAAAGCAAAACAAACTAAAAACAAACGCCATCATTAATTTAGAACATGAAGCTATCCCTGTATGAAGCTTGATCACTTTTATTTTCTTGTTCAATGAATTCATAATAGTAAGCCTACCCTGAATGGTATAGCACCCACAGTCTATATATCTATGCAACAGTTCAGAGTGAATGAACATTATCACTGTGCCATTAACATATGCAACCATTAAAAGTTACTATTGTAACACAACTTTACCAGTTTTTCTTAGCAAATTTCTTGCCTATAGAAAATATGTCCTTCACGGAATCCTCTTACTCAACCATTTCTGGGAAGCCCTTAGGAGTCTTACAAATCAGTGATATGCTCAGCAGATAGTGTTCAGTGCAACACACAGTGCGGTTAAGGAGCACACCCCATGATATTTTAATTTCTTTTTTCTTTCCGAAAATCTGGGTGTGTTCATGGGAGTTTGTTGCCCATGTGACGGTCTTCCATCATTCTGGTGGGGGTGCAGGGGGACCAATAAACATGGTTACTTTAGAAAAGCATTCTCATGACTTATTTACTATGTAAAAGAAGGAAATTAGATTTCAGTAGCTTGTGACTACCCCACTCCAGATTGGTTTTAAGTAAAGCAACACCATTTAGATCTGGATAAATTTAGAGCTTATAATACAGGTTAGGAGCAGGATGAATTTTCTCAGTAAGGGGAATATATTTGGATTGGCACCTTTTTTTTTAGGAAGTCTGTGGAAATCCACACTATGCTCTTATTTAGGGGATGTAAAGTATGAGGTTAAATAAATGATCATTTATCAATTAAAACTGCTGTCTAGATTCCTGGTGGAGAATTAAATTTACTTTTTATTTTTCATTCATATAAAACATTTGAAATGAGAAAGCTGGGGTACTTTAAAATGCCATTACTTATTTTGTTTTAATTTCCAGGTAATTCCTGAGACAGTACTGCCCCAAATAGCCTTTGCAATTACTTAAGAATATCCAAGGTAATTCTTAACGTTCCTCAATTCAAACGAACCACATAATTACAATTTTAATAGGAACTCTAGAAAAGGGAGTCAGAATTTATCCCAAGATAATACACTGGTCCACTCTACACTGGGATAAATATGTATGAAAAAAAATAGGAAACTCAATGTACTGAATTTTAAGCTGTCAAAACAAGATTGTTGAAAATATTCTGTTAAAGGTTAAAAATAAGTTGTACTCTGAGTCCAATGACCATTTGCCAAGGAGAGCCAAAGTTGAGAAATTTCTATTAAAAACATGACTCAGAGGGAAAACTGCAGAGACTGGCAATGAAGGAAATGATCTGATACCATTCCCAATTGGTTATGCCCAAGATCACATGTTCTGGGCACCTTTAAAAGGAGTATCTGGACTCAGAGGGTAACAGCATCTTGCTGAAAGCTGTGCTCTTTCTCACCTTGAAGAACAATTCTAGAAAGCTCACAAAATGTGTGATGCCTTTGTAGGTACCTGGAAACTTATCTCCAGTGAAAACTTTGATGATTACATGAAAGAAGTGGGTAAGGAAATGCATTGTTGAATGGCTGGGCTTATAACTTTTTCTCTAGGAAAGAGAGGTCTATGGTTCTTTTTCACTCTGGAAGCACTGGCCTGACATGAAATGCTGCTTTCTATATAGATGTGATAAAAATAACATGTGAGAATCATTTGTTTCCAGAAACATTCTAGACGGAAGTCACAACTAATACTTACTAAAGGTGAACTGATATGAAAATAAGTGTAAGTGGAATTGTATAGAAATGACAAGATTTTTTTTGATTGCTAACCTTGAATATCTTTGGTTTACTTGGCTATCTGCCTCTTTTTCATTCATTCCTTTTGTATATAAAATAAGCAATAACTTGGAAATAAGCCTATATTTATTCCCTAGCATGTGATAATTTCCATTTGAAACTGAAAGCACTGTATTTATCATCTTAATGCAATCTTTTGAGTAATGTATATTAACCGATTATTTTATTGTTTTAAAGTCAACCTGTTAAAATGTGTGGTTGTATTATGGAAGGAAAGATCTTAATTTCTGAAAATGTTTTCCTTAAATGTCTTAGATATTTGTTTGACTTAATATTACAAGGCATGACACAGAATTATTGATAACAGAGGCTTTCAGGTTTTTGGATTCTGCTAATGTCACCTGTGTGTTCCCCAGATAATTACAAAGGTAAAGCAAAGGATCAGAGAGGCGGGAATTCAGTCAGGCAGCCACACCCATGAATGATGAAGCTGTATCCACGGGTTGCAAATCGGGGAGGGATTTTTTTTTTTCCCAATATCTTTATTAGAGATTATAATTTAATCCCTAAATCTCAAGACTTAACCTTCTTCTAAATCTTATAGTATATTTCTTGCTTGTTTATAACTACTGTTTTCCATGTTTATAGACAAGAGGGAAATTAGGAACTTCAATATGAATGAGACCTAGTTTTCCAGACTACTGACTAGTTGTAACTCAATAATCTAATCAATATGCACTGATATTGATATTATAGGACTTGAGTCTATTTACCTATTTATTTTTAGAAGCATTTTACACTTTGAATATTTATATTTAAATTCTTATACCATTGCGTTTGGGCTTCCTATGTGGTGCTAGTGATAAAGAACCCACCTGCCAATACAGGAGATTTAAGAGACAGAGGGTTCAATCCCTGGGTCAGAAAGATTCCTCTAGAGGAGGGCATGGCAACCCACTTCAGTATTCTTGCCTGGAGAATCCCATGGACAGAGGAGCCTAGTGGGCTATGGTTCACAGGTTTGCAAAGAGTCAGATACGACTGAAGGGACTTAGCACGCATGTAGACACCATGGCCTTTTAAAATTATTAAGTATTGATGATAATGAAAGACAATAAGATACATTCTGAAATTAGCTGCTCTAATTGATTACCTTCAGTCAGCAGGTATCGTTTTCAGCAGTCAAATGAAAACAGAATCAAGCAAGAGGAGAGTGTGATTTTCCTAAACGTGGCCAATCTGGAACCACACCCAATGTCTCACTCTATTATGGAGTGTGCTGACTCACTCCATTAATTTGAGGTTACATTTTGTAACAGAGACAAGACTTGATGAAGCAGCATGTTATCTTCCCACCTGTCACCACTTTCAGACAGGGAGCCTCGGCATTGCTTGTTTTGTATGATATATTGCCTCCCCACTATTCTTAAATTTTGGTGTCTATACCTAGTCAAAGAAGAAGATTTGTGCATGTGCATTTTAAAAATCCAACACACCTATGATTGTTGTAAAATCTCTGTAACATATGCAGCGATGGTAAGGTACTGTTTTCTATGTTAAGTTGTAAATCATTCAACCCAAAGTTGTAACATCCCCCAAAACACATTCTTATTTTTTTCTTTTTTTTAAAAAGAAAAAGAGGAGCTTGCAACTTAAGTGATTGGGAAGCAAAGTATTAATTTCTGAACTTAGTAAAATAATGATTTCTTAAACTTTGAAATTTTCAGTTGATGCCTAAGACCTCTTTAAAATTTTCTATAATCTATTGGGACTACCATCACCACTCTAAAGTGCTATGAATGCAAGAAACATTTTGCCTTTTGGAAAAATTAATCAAAATCTTCATTTCAGAGTAATTATGAAAAGCCAGAAAAACTAGGTGTGGCAGCGTACACCCAAATTAAATTTTAACTGAGTAACTCTCTATTGGTCCCCTGAATCCTAATGAGAGTTCTACCTTTGACTATGGATTAGATCATTTCTGTTATTCAAGAATCAATGGTTGAGATTCTCAAGTGTTTCATGAACTGAGTAAAATGAAGGTGGCTGCTCTCATGGTTGAGATGGCCAGTTATTTTGAGAGTGCAGTGACTTTTAAAATATGTATGTCCCAGAAAATTTAATCTTTTACATATGCTTATGGAAAAGTAACAATGGGTCTCCTGAAGAGTCTCATCTGAAACCCAGAGGGGGAAATTTAAAGAACAGACTTACATCTAATTGTGCCTTGGGTGTTATTTAAGTATTAGCTGATTTCACTTATTTTCAGGAGATGTTTAAATAAAGACTTTAATAATAAACTCACTGCAGTCTTTGTCCTTTAATACACTCACTGGAGTGTAGATGGGTACATGGGCACACATGCATCTCTAAATACACACACACACACACACACACACACACACACACACACACCTGCTCTTTCTTAGATAAATATATGAGAGAAAAATTGTATACTTGACATTTTTCTTTTCCCAACTACAGGTGTGGGCTTTGCTACCAGGAAAGTGGCTGGCATGGCCAAGCCCACTTTGATCATCAGTGTAAATGGGGATGTGGTCACCATTAAGTCAGAAAGCACCTTTAAAAATACTGAGATTTCCTTCAAATTGGGCCAGGAATTTGATGAAGTCACTGCAGATGACAGGAAAGTCAAGGTGAGGAATAAAGAACTGGAGCAGAGTAAAAGCCTGATTTATAAATGACTGCTGCCTACAACAAGCCATTTTGTAGAAGGAGGAAAACCATTCCATTATAAGCCAAAAATCTCAGATTGCTAGATCTAAACCACATTGCCTTTGATATTTAGTTGGTGAATTTTCTCCCATTTAATAAAATTGTCCTTATTGCTTCAAAAATGTTTAAAAATTTGTCATACCGTGTGTGTGTGTGTGTGTGTGTGTGTGTGTGTGTGTATATATATACATATATATATATATATAGTATTTGAAGTAAATTGAAGTAACATAACAATGTTAGAGAACTTTTAAAAGCAGGGGGAGGAAAAAACCACCTATGATGTTATTCCACATAAATTTATTATCTATATTCTTTCACAGTATTTTTTTTCAAATACATGTTTGTATAATATTCTGATTATAATATACATGTAATTTTGCATGTTGTTTTTGGCATTCATTGTTTTCTTTTGCAACATTTTCTTGTAATTTAGAATTGCTAAGTACCTCAAAATAAGCAAATAAAAGTGCTTTATTTTTTTTTCCCTCTGTCATTGTAATCACTTTTAATTATCCCCACAGAACACCATAAACTTAGATGGAGGTGCCCTAGTACAGGTACAAAACTGGGATGGAAAATCAACCACCATAAAGAGAAAACTTGTGGATGATAAGCTGGTGCTGGTGAGTATCTTCCCACTACTTAATTCTAGATTTTAGTGCTAGGTCATCCCATAATCATTATCCTACCTAGAGAAATAGACAATCGCCCTTGTAGAATGAAAAGTTAGTCTATTGGGCATGTGGTTTCACTCTGGCAATAAACTTCTAAGCTCCGTCTATGTATACTGGGCCCCAGGAAGTATTTTCTTATCCCTCTCAATGTGAACCATATTGTATTGTGCATGTCTAATTATGTTTTTCACTCACCACATAGATTGTAAGATTCCTTGAGGGCAAGACTTGTATCTTCCTGATCTTTGTTCTCCCTAGTTTATTACAACATCAAGTATATAACAAGAGCCAAGAGTGAATATCTTTTGATGAACCCTTTTTCCTTCTCAACATTGAAGGAGACAATAAATAAACAAAACATAAGTTGTTGAGTCCTGAGGATTTTACCAGTATTTTGCTTTTGTGCCTAGGAATGTGTCATGAATGGTGTCACTGCTACCAGAGTTTATGAGAGAGCGTAAGCCAAGGGATATTGAAATGGGTGAAGTTTGCATCGAACTCCATGACTTCCTGTTAGATGTGTTGTCCAAACATATATTGTTATTTTCCACTAATAAGCAAGAAACTGATTTTCTCCCAGATTGATTTTGATATGGTTGTGTTGGTTAAATAAAACTTTTTAGATTTATAAGGCTATGTAATGATTTGTTCATTATATTTAACGATTTCTTACTCATAATTTAGTGACGGAAATATAAAATTGTATTATTGCTTTGTTTCCAGTATAATATGATTTTTTAAAATAATAATTCAAGGTGAAAAAATATGAATTTCCCATATTCTTAGGTAGAAAATGATAAATATGTACTATTACTGAATATGAAGTCCTTCTTTACCATAGCTATAGTCAAGCAACACCCTTTCAGGGACCTAAGATAGATTTAAATGTAGTGAAATTGTCCACAGTCAGCTGATCCAAGTATTGTCATTTCACAAAAATCTGTCCTAGAGCATCAAGGCAGAGAGGTGGGGTAGAAACAAAGAGTGTAGACAAAGATTTCTGGGCTATAAATTTTAACCTGAAAAATTATTAGTAAACCAAGGTATCCCTGGAATCTGTCTAGAAGTAAGTCCAAATAATCACATGTTACATTTATTCCAGAAAAGATATGACAGGCTTGTAATGAGTTATGATGTAAATGTTCCTGTAGTCATTTCCAAATTTTTCTTTTTTTCTTATCAGTGGAATTTTTTTTTAAAGATATTGAATATGTCCTGGAATTTTTATGCAAATAAAATTTCCCTGGAATTTCAATATATAAAACAAACAAGAATGATAATAAAGCTAGTAAGGGCGTGTTTTCATTTGTGTGTGTGTGAGAGAGAGAGAGAGAGAAAATTTGTTTCCTCTGC